GGAGCAGAGAGGCTGACGTTTCGGGCCTAGACCCTTCATCAGAATTCCTCGCCACTCTGGAAGCCACACTGAAGACCAACGGCATCAATGAAGAAACACAACAAGCCATAAGACAGACAGTGATCCCGACACTGATCAGAAAAAGCGAACTTAACACTCTCAACACATCAGAAAGGAAGGCCCTAGAAGGACTGAAAAAGGACAAAAACATCACAATACTACCAGCATACAAAGGACGCATGACAGTAATACTAAACAAACAGGACTACCTCTCAGAGACACAAACACTACGAGCCAACGAGAACACATACCAGCAAGGGCAGATACACCCGACACCACAACAGGGCAACAAGATTCTCAACACACTAAAGAGACTCAAACAGACCAGACAAATCAACAAAACAGACTGCCTAAGAATGAAACCAGAAGGAACCAACACCCCCCGATTTCACGGCCTCCTGAAGGTACACAAACCGGAAGTACCCCTCAGATCCACAGTCTCCCTGTCAGACACGTCATTGCATAGATTAGCCAAGGAGTTACAGAAGAGACTAAAGCACTTTGTCAGCAAGTCACCCCACTCAATCTACTCAGCCTAAGATTTCCTCAATTCCATCAAGGACATAATAATAGACAACGATGAGACCATGTATCATATGCCCTACGCACATTGATAGACATACCACTAGCAAGAGAAACACTGGCAACACTGCTAAAACAAGAACAAGACCATCGTGACACCATCTCCACAGAAAACATGCTGAAGCTACTGGACTTACGCCTCACCACCCACTTCACCTTTAACGGCCAAATATATGAACAGATCAACGGGACACCCATGGGATCACCTATCTCCAGACTAATAGCTGAAGCGGTAATGCAGAGACTTGAAAGCATGGCCCTTTCACTAATCCAACCAAAACTAACAAAGGTACACAAGAAAACCACACACACTGACCAAGTACTGAATTTCAACAGCAACCACCCTAACACACACAACGAAGTTGCGCGACCACATTATTTAAACGGGCAACAACACACTGCAGCAGCACAGAACTACACCAAAAAGAAGAAGAGTACCTCTTCCAAGTATTCAAAGACAACGGATGCCCGAAAAACTGGGTCAGAAGATGCCTATTACATGAATGACACCAGGAAGATACTACACACCCCGACAGACTCATCACGCTACCTTACATCAAGAATGCATCTGAACTGACCACAAGACTCCTACAACCACGGGGCATCAGATTAGCACACAAACCCACATCAACCCTACGCCAACTGCTCACCCGAACCAAAGACCCATTACCCACTATGGACAGGACCAATGTCAAATACAAGATTCCCTGCAGAGACTGTGACAACCATTAGACTAACAGGAAGGAAATTAACCACAAGGATACATGAACATCAACTGGCAACAAAAAGACACGACCAATACTCACTCCTCTCCATGCACATGGATAAGGAAAACCACCAATCTGATTGGGACAACACCAGGAACCTAGGACAGGCGAAGCAGAGACAAGCACGGGAATTCCTAGAGGCCTGGTTCTCCACTAAGAAAGCCATCATTAAATTCATAGAGCTAGACCCCATATACACTTCATTGCAAAGGAAAACCGGAAGTGGTAATCCAGCTCAATGGACACCAGAGTTTAAATGATAGGCACGAAAACACAACAGCGCTTCATTGAAGGCTGCACTGATGATGTTACCCAGCAGGGTAATGAAATGTCTGCGGAACAACAAATTAGCTCGGCGAACCAACCAACCACAAAAGATATCAAGTTGTTACTGAATATTTTCAGAAAAGGAGTATCAGACAATTGAACATTTTTCATCAAGAGTTTCAAAAGCTGTGATCAGTACTCAGTGTGCAGGAGTAAGCATTCAAGATGCTGAAATACAAAAAAAAGCTGCTTCCATTTATAGTGTTTTGCAACTGCAGTGACATTATGTACACAAGCACTGCTTTAAAGGGCTTTGTAAGTTTTGACATACTGCAAATATACTAATGACTTTATAGAACTACAGGCAAATCAGCTACTCTGTATTTGTGCACACAGGGACCTGGCTGGTCTTTCCCCTCTAATATGGTTCCAATTATCAGAGATATATAGCTGCATTTGGAAAAAAAGATTTCAAAGTATGAATGATTAAAAAGTTCCCTCTTTTTTACTGTGCTGGAGCATGATATGTAATGGTGTAGTTGTCATGCATCATAAAGTCTCTGGGGGCAGTTAACAAAAATTTGTCAGAACTACAGGCCTGTTTTCACCAACCTGCCAGTCACACATTCTAAAGCTCCTTGGTGAAAGTCAAGAATACTATTTTAAAGCTTTCTATCACTAACTATCATAATAAGTAAAACAAACAAACTAAATCCTGTGAAAACACCTGTTTGATACTTAGAAGACAGCACGGTTTATGACATGGTGGCTCAGTGGTTAGTACTGCTGCCTCACAGTGCCAGGGACCCGGGTTTGAATCCAGCCTCGGGCGACTGTCTGTGTGGAGTTTATACATTCTCCCCATGTCAGCGTGGGTTTCCTTCGGGTGCTCTGGTTTCCTCCCACAGACCAAAGATGTGCAGGACAGGTGGACTGGCCATGTTAAAGTGCCCAGGGATGTTTAGGTTAGGTGGGTTAGACATGGGAAATTAGGGAAATGGGTCTGGGTGGGATGCTCTTCGGAGGGGTAGTGTGGACTTATCGGGTTGAATAGCCTGTTTCCACACTGTAGGGACTCTATGATTACAAGTAAACTTACTCTGTGCTTGCTTCATGGGCTACTTAAAACAAATTGGGAAACCAAAGATGGACTTAACCAAGGTTGAATCTTTTCCTAACTCATGCTTCTGCTGTGTCTAGTACTTCTGGCAAAAAAAAACTCTTCTGGTTCATTCACTCAAGCATTATGTCACTGTTTTACCATTACCTTACCTCTCTTAGTACCGGGTCACTGATGGAATTCAGATTGACAGCTCCTTCATAAGTCAAGTAATAGAAGACATTGAGGCTTCGAACAGCCTCAGGCCCCTGCTGCTTATATCCAAAAATCAGGTCAATCCACTGGTGAAGCTGGCAGGAAACAAACTCACTCTCCAGAGCCTGCAAATCACAATAGAGGGGTAATATCAGTGTTGGATTAAAAATTTAGTTTCTTAACTAGGGACACATTTTATAGAATCTACTTTTTTGAGCTGTATTTAGGAAATCAACTCATACATTGCAGCCCATAATGTTAGTGGCTTTGAAGCTTGGGTGTCCATTAACATGACCTCTAGGGGAGTATGTCTATTCTCTGAGTGGAAAAGTCAAAACAATGGAGAAAGATAAATTTAACACCAATGCCTCAATGTTTTAAAATGTCCCAGGCTTCCCAGTAAGTGAACATTGTTAAATCTGTCATGAAAGTGAGGTGGAAGAGAGCATCCTTAGCCCTCCTACCCCAGTATCCTATTTTTGTAATGATGGGGCATCTGGACAAAACACCAATAAGGTGATGTTGGGTGATTGCTCAAAGTGTTTAAGGGGGCTTAACAGATAGTTGAAGACAGGATTGAAGGCAAACAGACTTCTACTCCCAAACTTTCAGGTAAATTCTAAAGCCAAGGGGCCTTCTTGTTGCTGCTAATCACGCAGTCCAGTGTCCTGTTTCTGGTCCCAGGCCCAGAGTAAAAGCATTGCCAGATTAATGATTACTGCTCAGCTTGGACTGGGTTAGCACACTTCTGGTATGCTCTTTTGGCTAGACTATTAAATGAACCCATCAATTTTGGCCATAGAGTAAGTGAGAACTTTAATGCTGTTTATCTATTGTAACGATACTATGGCTTCAAGAGGTGTTTTTTTGAGGAGAGGTTTTAAGGCAGAAATGATGAGCTGTCTACTGAAAGCCCATAAAGTAAACAGCTTGTGCGGCCTTGGAGTTTTTTTTAAGTTGGAACAATAGAAGCAACCTGAACGGAAGGAGCAAGCTCCCACAGAATCAGGATTTTTAGTTGTCAGCAGTAGCAGTTCTGGGTCTTGAAGCTGGGTGGAAGCTGCAGTACATCTCTCCTTGCTACTCTCTCCTTACTACTATCTCCTTTAGAGTTTTCTCTTGATGCTTTTCTTCCTGGACTGAAGAATTACCTGTGAGACAATCTGTTCCACTGAATTTGCCTTTTTCCAAAGGTATATTTATGGGATTTTCCTATATTGGAACAATTAATTAGTAATAGTAAAATAATGTATTATCTGTTCAGTTTTCCAGTAGAGTTGCTATTCCAATTTCTTGTTTCTTTCATTGTATTTTAACTATAGTGGATGAATAAAATGTGTTTTGCTTCAAATCTGGCAGTTTGATCAATTGAATTGCATCTAGAACACAACGCCTGGGACTTGCCTTTAAGTTAAGAAAATGTTAGATTATCTTCTTAATATATTTTGAAGGAGCTTGGTCTGATCCATAACATCATCAAATTCAACTAAAGCCCTGATTGTTTTAGAACTCAGCAATAAAGATCAATAAACCATACAGTTCCAACAAAAAAATGCTAATTGTGACTTCTGGGAAAGTAACAACAGTAGCAACTAACATTTATCTAGTGAAGTGTTCCACATAATAGATCAGTTCATTTAAAATCAAACGGCACCAAATTAGAATGCAGAAAATAATAGACACATCGAAGTAAAATCAATTCAATAGCTCAATGAATGAACTTGGATGACATATACTGAGACAATAAATTTGTCCCAAAATTACTGCCAGATCACTTTCATACAGTAAAGTCGAAACAATTTCATATCAATCAATATACAAATTTATAGAGATAACAAGGTGTAGAGCTGGATGAACACAGCAGGCTAAGCAGCATCAGAGAAGCAGGAAAGCTGACGTTTTGGGCCTAGACCCTTCTTCAGAAATGGAAGAGGGGAAGGGGGTTCTGAAATAAATAGGGAGAGAGGGGGAGGCGGATAGAAGATGGATAAAGGAGAAGGTAGATGGAGAGGAGACAGACAGGTCAAAGAAGCGGGGATGGAGCCAGTAAACATGAGTGTAGGTGGGGAGTTAGGGAGGGGATAGGTCAGTCCAGGGAGGACGGACAGGTCAAGGGGATGGGAGGAGGCTAGTAGGTAGGAGATGGGGGTGGGGCTTGAGGTGGGAGGAGGGGATAGGTGGGAGGACGGACAGGTTAGGGAGGCGGGGACCTGTCCGTCCTCCCTGGACTGACCTATCCCCTCCCTAACTCCCCACCTACATTCACCTTTACTGGCTCCATCCCTGCCTCTTTGACCTGTCTGTCTCCTCTCCACCTATCTTCTCCTTTATCCATCTTCTATCCGCCTCCCCCCTCTCCCTATTTATTTCAGAACCCCCTGCCCCTCCCCCATTTCTGAAGAAGGGTCTAGGCCTGAAACGTCAGCTTTCCTGCTCCTCTGATGCTGCTTGGCCTGCTGTGTTCATCTAGCTCTACACCTTGTTATCTCAGATTCTCTAGCATCTGCAGTTCCTACTATCTCTGATGCAAATTTATAGATGCGGTTTGAGGAAACCAAACAAACCATTCATCAAATGTCATAATTTAGTTGAAAGTATATTATGTGAATTTAGGTATTTAGTTAAGTCAATATTAAAATTTTCATTAGGAATTGTAGCAGATACAATGAAGATTACTTCAGAATAAGAAGGCAGTGCACCCTGTCTATATGGTCCCAGTTTCCATCAGACAGTTCTTTGAAGCAGAATTCTAAGATGGAGTCTTTCAGTCTCAGAGAAGGAGGTAAGAATGGGGAAGGGTGGATTTATTGGGCCAGATGCAAAACATCAGATTGTCGTCATCAGGAAGAGGTTCTCTGATTATGTTTTTGTTGTATAAGGATCTGAAAGTATTAATACTGAGGTCTGCCTTAAGCCCTACCCATTAGAATGATGTTATATGGTGTGTTAGGGGCAAGGTACTGGCATGAATAGGGATAAAGGGGTGTTTTTCAGGATGGCAGCTGCTGATGAGTGGACTTCTGCAGGAGTCCATGTTAAGATCACAACTACTCACATTATCTGGACAAAGGAACTGAGGGCATTGTTGCTTAGTTTGCAAATGGTACAAAGATAGGTGGAAGGACAGGTAATGTTTAGGAAATGGGGAGGCTGCAGAAGGACGTGGACAGGATAGGACAGTGGGCAAAGAAGTGACAGATGGAATACAACGTGTGAAATTATGAGGTTATGCACTTTGGTAGGAAGAATGGAGGTATAGACTATTTTCTAAATGGGGAAAGGCTTTGGAAATCTGAAGGAGAGACCAGGACTTAGCAGCCTCAGAATGAAGGTACAACACTTTAAAACGGAAATTAGGAGGAATTTCTTCAGCCAAAGAGTGGTTAATCTTTCGAACTAATTGCTGCAGACGGATTTGGAGGTCAAGTAATTGAGCGTACTTAAGACAGTTAGATAGATTCCTGAATAATAAAATGATCAAGGGTTATGGGAAGAAGGCAGGAGAATGGGGTTGACAAACATATCAGCCACGATTGAATGGGGGAGCAGACTTGATGGGCTGAATGGCCTGATTTTGCTCTTATACCTTATGGTCTTACGGTGTTGGTGAGGAGAATAGCTCACAATCTCAAAGAAGTAATCTAGGTCTTCCTCATAGCCTCTGTGACACAGTCTAACACATAAGTGCATCTTGTAGCATAGTTGCTATCACGCAATAAACTACACGATAAGAAAACAGTCTCTTCTCATTGGTTCACCACAGTAGATCCCTACCCTGAAAGAGGATGGGGCAGAAAATCCACTGTACCTTTATAGTGAGGAATAGAAGAGGTAGCTTTTAGAACTTGATGAGTAGCAATACGGATTGCTCATACAACAAAGTTATCTAACTTCAAAAGGCAGGTCAACCTTTCCAAATGCAGGTGTTGAACAGCTTATGTGCATGTATTTGCATCTCAATGAAAGCACAACTCATTAGAATTAAGTGGGCCTTCCCAATTAAGACAGCCATCACTACCCGACTGCTTATAATAGAATTTATCTGGTGACCTTCACTACTTCGTGGAATTCAGGTAAGCATTTGCTGCTCTTCTAGTGAAATGGCTTTAAATGGCATTTGTTTGTTATAAGCTGTCTGGGTATATTCAAGGAGGCTTGCTGCAACCATGGGCCATGTTAAAGCCCAAATGGCTAAAGAGAGGATGGATTATTCCAGTGAGTCACTGGGGACTTCTGCAGAATTTCACAGTCAGCTCCTGATAAATATATCTGAGAGATGACTGATGCTCTATTTGCTGAAATGCATCAATTTGTGCATTGCCCCTTGGATGCAATCGACTTTACTGCCACAGCAGGCTTCCTAAAGGAGAGGTGCGAATGATTGCCCCACATTGACCATGCTGGTAACACCTGTTGTGTTTGTTAATAGGAAAGGATTCCATTCCTTTATTTGCAGATCATCTGTAACCAACAGCCAAAAACTCCACATGACTCCTCTATTGTACAGCACCCACAGGTGATCAAAGCTTCTAATGTCACTTGTCACATACAGAGTTGGCCGAAATGCAAAAGATACCTAACAGGAATCTTCAGACAGATGCCAAGGAGAGATGAAATTTTGCAGATACTTCCACGAGGGTCATTGTTGAGAAGGCAATTGTTGAGGTACACCTGCACATCCACCAACGTGGTCTATTGCATCCGCTGCTCCCGATGTGGCCTCCTCTACAATGGTGAGACCAATCAGAATCTCGGAGACCCCTTTGTGCTGCGCTCTGTTCACAACAAACGACAACATCTTCCAGTTGCGAACCATTTCAACTCCCCCTCCCGCTCCTTGGGCGACATGTCCATCCTGGGCCTCCTCCAGTGTCACAATGACGCCACCCAGAAACTGGAAGAGCAGCACCTCATATTTCACATTGGGAGGTAACAACCCAACGGTCTCAATGTGGACTTTACCAGTTTCAAAATCTCCCCACCCCCGGCCTCATCCCATGACCAACCCTCCCTCTCTTCCCCACCTCCTTGACCTCACACAACCTGTCCATCTTCTCTCCCACCTATCCGCTCCTCCCACCTCAATTCTCACCGCTGCCTACCTGCACTCACCTATCACCATCCC